CGGAGGAAAAGGAAGAAGAGACTATGTACTACACAATAGATACCATTTGCCGAACCGTAACCGAGACGAACAATTAAGAAAGGGAAAGAAAAAAGAGTATAAAGAAACAAAAGAAAATCAAAGTGAACGTGTTTGAGTAAGACATCAAAGATCAAATCCATCCAGGCTTACCACTCCCAAAATTCTGTCCAAAAGGACTACCCCTTGTACCCCCCGGACCATCCTGCGAAGACATGGTCCTACCCGTCCCGTTTGGACTGACAACCACCAATTTCGCCCTGGTCGGTGTCTGATGCGGGCTGTATTCTTCATCCTTCTGTACTGATTGCCTCCCCATATTTCGTAGAGGGCTGGGATTCCTCGGCAGTTGCCCCTTGAATGTGCTGGGGCTGAGTGTCTCGTTGCCGTCGTCGGCCGGAGCGGAAGCAGCAGCAGCAGGAATCGAAGAAGGAGTCGAGCCGGGAGCAGGGGCCGTCGAAGCCGAATCTTCCATGACGGGCATGGTGGGTGGGAAAAACTGCGACAGGTTGGGAAATCGGCTCTGCGTCCGGCTGATGATGCTGGCCGTCTTGTTCTTGTTGTTGTTGTTGTTGTTGTTGTTGTTGTTGCCGGTGCCCGAGTTGGCAATCGTATTCTCCTCCGTCGTGGACCCGTTCACGTTGGATATCCGGATGCCGATCCGTACAGTCTCGAGGGATCCGGCAGACAGGTTACGCTGGTGGGGGGACAGGCCTGTCGATCCTGCGTGGAACAGGGGAGGGGGCATGAGCATCGACTCGGGCGTCTGGGTGCGAGGCGGGACGGGCGTAGAGTTGGGCGAGTATGTCGTCGACGGGAGCGTGAGGAGGCTCTTGTTGTTGTTGTTGTTGCTGTTGTTGTCATCGTCGTCGGCGTCAAACTCGTTGCTGCTGCTGCTGTTGTTGTTTGAGCGGGGCGGCATGAGCCACGACATAAATGATCGGCGTGGTGGTGGTGGTGGTTGGGGGTTGTCGACGACGCTGCTCCTGGTCCCGTCATCGTATTCGCCGTCGACCACCGGTGGCTTCTCGTCGTGGTATATGGGCGGGATGGGCGGGGTGGACGGCGCGGGGCCGATGGGCGACATCATCTGTTGCTGCTTCAGGAGGACGAACTCCTGCTTCTCTCCCTCGGAGAGGTAGTCCCACGTCGAGCCGCGGCTCGTCTGGTTCCCGCCCCGGAGGTACAGGTACAAGCCTCCCGTCATGAGACCGGAGAGGTTGGCCACGACGGACGACACGGTCGAAAGCTCCGTGGTGCTTGATGACATCTCGCTGCCTTGGCCGTAGGTGATGTTGAAGAAGAAGGGGATCAGGAGCGCCTTTTTGTTCTCGTCAGTTCAGAGGTCCAAGATACCTGCTAGATCGTGGCAACGAGGGACTCACGTTGGAGATGGTGGCCACAGACATGTAGTACACCATGTGTGACGCTGCCTGGCGCTCACCGGGGTGGCTTTCGTTCGTCGTCGAGAGGCGCAGCTTGACAAAGGTGATGATTGTCGACACAAAAATGGTCGAGGCGATGCCCACCAGCAGCCCGAAGCACACCGGCCGCCACTGCTGGGCGAACCAGAATAGAGAGGCGTAGCACTTGTCCGGGGGAGGTAGTGCACGCGTAGCTCCGTACAGGCCGAGGAGACCCGCTACCGAGACGGCGATGCACGTCGGGTAAACCCACCTCGCTCTCGGAGGGAAGGCTCGGCGGAACAAGGAGGCGACGGCCGTCTCGAAGCCCAGGATGAGCTGGACGACGGGGACGATGAACAGGGCTAGCAGCACATTCGGCCACTCGTCAGCAGTTGAGTATAGGAAGAGAAGGAGGAAGAGGGAGGGAACGTACCAGGCATCATGGCTTGGGCAACGGGGATGCACCCTTGTATCACAAAGCCCTGGAGACCTTTTGCCTGCTCCACGGCGAATATGATGCCCTGAGCGACAATGGCCAGGGACAGGATGAGAGGGTAGACCATCCATGGACTTGGTGGCGGGAGTGACCTCTTCCCTCTGTTTATTTCCCCCCCAGTGTCAGTCACCACCATACTTTAGACCTTACGGAGAGGGGAGGGGGAACACCCTTGGGGGTTGGAAAAGTCTCACCTCAGTCGGAACAAGGAGCCGCGCTCATCCAAGGCGCGTGCATCCCTCACGATGCAGATGATGGTTATGGTGGCGGCAAGCACGTTGAAGCTAGCGAGTGTGATGACAGACGTACGGATCGACTTGGCCGATGACCACTGCAACTCGTCCGTCGATGCCGTCGTCTCGTTGGCTGCCTGTGCCACCACGGTTGTCGTCGTTGCCGTTGCCGTTGCCGTCGTCGATGCTGCTGCTGTTGAGTCCTGGGCGCTTCGCGACACATGGGCCGCCGCGTGGTCGGCCGCTATCGACCAAGAGTACATGGCCATGCGCGTCACGAGGCCCTTCCATGTGCCATCCTCCATCTTTCTTTCCTTCCTTTTTTTTAATAGGTTTATTCTTTGTTCTTGTTTTCGGCGTACAGGTTTTGTCTTGTAGTATATGTCGATGGTGAGAATAATAAGTCGTACGAGGTGAAAAAGGGGAGGCCAGCCCTTGTTTTGCTGAGAATCGAAAGAGATCAAGGAAAGGAAATCTGTCGAGTCGAGCGCCTACAAGGTCGATTGTAGGGATTCAATCTGATGGAAGGAATCAACCCTTCTTGGATCGAATCGTGAAGCCCGCTTCACCGTGACTCTGTATCGTCTGAATCATTCGTGAGCCATGGAAGAAAAGATGGCAAACACGCCAAGCGAAGGAAACAAATTTTGGTGATGGGGAGAGAAAGTAGAAGCAGAAACTGATGATGTGGGAAAGGACCAAAAGGGAATTATCATCAATGCGAAGAGGGGGGAAGGCATGAGGGAGAGCCGGCTCAGAGGATGGAACGGGAGGCCCTCGGGGCTTCCTTCCTACGGGGGGGCTGGACTACTGCCACTGAGAAGAAGGGATCCAAGGCGTGGCCCAAGTGCGTAGGCTTCGTTTGGAGGAGAGAGGGAGGGAGGAACTTGAGGCAGCTAGAACATGTAGTGCGATCTGTGATTGGCACAAAACGGCATTATTCGATGGATGCTAAGGTCACCGGCGGACGAGGTTTCAAGCAGACGAGCCAAGAGTCTGGTGAAGTGGGGACGCTGGCATCACGATACACGATGTGGCGTTGACCTCGTAACTTGGTGAGTCGAAGGGTTCCATCTTCTCTTCAGGAGGCAAGTATTATCATACCCCAGTAATAGCAATGGCCACAGGCGCATGCGTTGCCGACGGTTTTCCCTCATTGAACTGCCGATTTGACAAGCCACCACTACTGTACTGAGGCATAGTACCTACCGTGTAAGTGTCTGTCCGGTCGAAGCTGCAAGTGAGTATGGTAGTCAACGAGACCATCGCAAGCAGCCTGTCTGTCTGTGTCTGCCTGCCTCTGTCTCCCCTTCAATACCAGGAGGTACCAAGAGTCGTGCGACTAGGCAGAGTTTCGAAGGCCCAGGTATTCGAAGTCATGGCCACAAACCCCCCCCCTCCTCCGGCTCGTCAGGAAGAAGAATCAAGACGGGGAAGGACGATAAGAGAGGGGGGGAAAGAGAGGATACTCTCGAGGCATCGCATGAACGATGTGAAATGGCTTCACAAATCAGGTTGAAGATGTCAGAGTTTGTGAGGCAGAGCGTGTGTCAGAACGTTGTGCAGCCCTGCAACACAAAAAGGTGCGACAATATATGGCCAGGGGGTAGAAGCCGGGGGGGGGGGGGAGGGGAGTTAAGGATTGTCGAGAACCGCGGGCGCTCGTAATGCAAGAGCCAAAAAAAAAAAAAAAAACTTCATCCTCAATAAACAGTCATTTCTTCTTCCTTCTTCTCCTTCTTTCATCTTCCTCTTGCCGAGTCTATTCGTAAGACCGTTATCCAAGACGTTGAGGTAGATAACAAGCACCATGGTTTTGTGTGCCTGGTCTGGCGTCAACACCTCCCCACACACAGCTAACTCGAGTGGACTTTTTCTCTAACGAGTCTGGTCTGGGCGTAGAGGCGTATTCTTGGGTGTGTCACAGGTGAGAGAGCTGCTGCCACCTCTCCAACCCGCATCTGTGCCCATCTCGTCTGGTGCATCTTGGCAAAAGCTTGGAAATCCATTAGTCAAAGACGGAGAATGAGGGGGCGGGAACAGTGATACTCGATGAGGAAAATCGACGGTTTGATGATGTTGACGTGGACGACGACGTAAGTGTGAGAAAGATTGCCAATCAAGATTAGGGAATGAAGAGGAAAGAGGAAGGAACTTGTGAGTCGCTCCCTTTCTTGCCTCGTGCCTTCCCGATGTTGCGCAGCTTCCAAGGGTCCTGGTGTTGACGTCACCACCCGCCACTCAAAGAGAGCATGTAGCAGGGACATGATGGACATGATGGACATGATGGACATGATGGACATGATGACATGATCCAACAGTCAACATTAATCCCAATACTACTAGTAAGGGGTACCCTTACCAAGTAGTATGTGTACCTGCTGCTAACAGGAACGCCTTACGGGTCATTGTTCATCTTTTTTTAGTGGCCGTTTATTGCTTCTAGGGGTTACCCGGCTCGATCGATTCGATTGATACTTGACAAGACATTTGATCGATAGATGTTACACCCCGGTACGAAGTAAGCGTCATCCATCATCGAGAAAAATGATCGAGAAACTTGATATCATCTTGCCCCTCACTTATTCACATTCGATGACGCCGTGTATTCTCATCGTCAAGCCACCGAATGACCGCGTAGGCGACATCATTGGTGTGTGTTGTCATGAATCTTCATGAATGAGGCTGATGTTGTCATCGACGTTGATGAGCCTGATGGGCTTGATGGGCTTCTGCGCGTATGAATCCTCATCTATAAATTGACGCCTTCTCTCCATCATCCTATCCTGATTTCCTCTCTTCATCCGACAAGCACATCCCAAAACAATCTCCAAAGAGTCATTACTTTTCAAACTCACTCGAAAGTCTTATAAACACAAAACACAGCCGCCAAGATGGAATCTGTCAAGCACAGCGCCAACTACGTCGGTGAGAAGGTCCAGCAGGCGGCCCACGGCAGCTCCAAGGAGACCAACAAGCATATCGCCAAGGACTCTGACGCTCCCGTCCGTACTCGGTAAGAAATCAATCCACTTTCCAAGAATGAGATGCGGTAGCTTTCTCTATTCACAGCTCTTCACAGCTCTCCTAATACTAACCACTCTCACAGTGCCGAGGCTGGCATCGACGCTACCGACGACAAGTTCAAGGAGGAGAAGCACGACAGCAAGGGCGAGGCGCACAAGAACCTTGCCTAAAGGTCCTGCTCTCCCCATGTTCCCTTCCACCATTGACAGATAACAATGGAGGAGGAATGATAGGAGCGATCATGATGGAATCGTGTCTTCTCTTCTTCTTTCTCATGTCCAACTCCCTACCTGTACACCATACCCCCACTACTATACACAAGTTTATCTTTCCTTTTACTCGTCGTGCTCGAAAGAGTAGTTGTCTAGAAATATAATATGGCAGCTTGACTCTTGCAAACTCCGTGGTATCGTGCTGGATCGTGACGTGATGAATGGTGCTCGAGAGTGACATCCATCCTGATCAAGAAACATGTCTACCGAATATCAATGCTTCTTCTTGGCATCGCGCACCTGCAGAGCATTGGCAATGTCCATGACAGACCACCAGATGACCCAGAGGGGAATCCAGACCCAGAGGGTGTTGAAAAAGATGAGGTAGATCCACTTGTACATGAAGTTGCTCGTGTCGAGGTTGATATTTCCGGTAAGCCACTCGGGGCAGAAAGTCATGAATCCTGGTTTTTTTTTTTTTTTTTCGATCAGCTTCTTGGCCTTGTTCCTTTCTTGCCAGGGAAAAGAGGGGTGCATCACTCATTCATCTCCAGAGAGGCGATAAGAAGCAGGGAGGTGAAGAGGAAAGAGAAGAGGACGGAGAACATACCACCGTATAGCTCGCAAGTAGCCAGCACAATCATCCAGATGGACACCTTGGCATCCCTCCTCGCAAGGCACCAGCAGATGTACAAGGCCAGAAGACCATCGAACACGACGGTGAGGAGCTCGAGGCTCACGACGCCGAGATCGACGCCGGCCCAGCGCCTATCGGCCTTGGCATAGACCATCCACAGCTGTGCAAAGGGGTTGTCCCCGCCAGCCTGGGGACCGTAGATGCGGTCGGCCCCGTGACCCAGGTAGTTGAAGGGGGTAGGGTAGAAGCTCTCGATGGCGGCGGCGGCGGTGGTGGTGGTGACGTCGACGTAGGAGAAGAAGCAGTGGTACAGGAAGCTCCCCTCGAGGATGAAGTGGCACAGGGCGTCGGCAAAGTGCCAGATGAAGAGGAAGCGCGTGGTGCCGGTGGCCGTCGTCGGGAGGACCTGGCGGGCCGTGGCCCAGGCGGCGGCGACGATGGCCAGGGTAGAGAGGAGGGAGACGATTGTCGTCTGGTCGAACAGGTCGTCCGGGAGGGACGAGGCAAATGATCCTGCCATCGTGTTCCTTCTCTGTCGAGGTGACAGACAGACTTGGAAAAATTTGAGCGGGTAATATCCTCTTTTCTTTCCCCCTCCCCCTGAAGGTGTTTTTGTGTGGTGGTCAGAAATCAAGACCCCGGATTTCGATGAGGTTGCGGTTGAGTGTTGAGTGTTGAGTGCCCCGCTTTTATTTTCGGATGGCTATACCTGTACAGATTAATCTGTACATATCACGAGTACAAATACCATTACTCGTACTCCGTACACTGACTGCTATTATAGCCATGTAATGGATGATATACGAGTATGTAAGCTTCCATACAGCTTCTAGTATTATTACGAGTACTCGTAGCACAAAGTTCCAGAGTCGAAATGCGGAGGGAATCATATCACGGCTTATGTTATTATTCTATTGTTTGGGCTGATTAATAGAGCTCTTTTATATATACTGTTCAAGTACCGAAACACAATCTGTGCATAATGATACAGACTGCACAGAGCTGATGCATTGTCTTGTACGCAACATCGAACCATTCACCACATCAATCATTGAATAGTGGATATAGCAGACATGGTAGCGTGTTACGGCCAGACGGACGAGACGGCATACGTTGCTACGAGCACGAGCAGATACGATAAAGGCGGTATTTAGAGTAAGCAATCTGTATCAATACCAGATAATTGTGCAACTAACTGCCAGATACACGTATCTTAGAATGCACCACTCGTGTCAATACCGGCAAATTTGCCCAACCCGCTGCCAAGAACCGAAAGTCCGTCACTTGCCCCCCCCTACGCGTCTGCAACTTGGGCCTGCGCCGATGTCGAGGTGCGGGTCAGAGCTGCCCCGGGCCCGTTCGTTTCAGGCCCAACATGGATTTTGATTGCGACGTATTACCTTGACCTGTAATCTGTAGAGCTGGACGAGTACGAGTATGCAGATGGAGAGAGCGCAAGAGATAGACAACGGAAGGGAAGAAGAAGAGAAAAAAAGAAAATCGCCGGCAGACAATTGCCGTGAATCTATATATTAATCAGTACGCGTTCAAAACAGGTCATCCGACTCCTCCCAAGTCTTGCTGCCTTGAATCCTTCTCATTACTGCCCTCAGCTCGCTATAAATCGCTGAGAGGAGCAACACGTGTAGCCCCTCCTTCAACTATTGCCCCTCCACCACGCAGCATACGCATCTTTCCTCTCTCTCCCTCCCTCTCTCTCTATTCCTCCTCCTCCTCACACATTTCTATCCCTTGATTCTCAAGAAAACCAAAGGTACGCGGGAAGGGAAAGAAAAAAACATATATACACATCATGACCGGCCGACCACAACTCTTCACCCGAGGCCTCTCCGGCCTCTCCGGCCTCTCCCAGTCCCAGAGCGCAGACGCAAGTTCCCCCGCCGCCAGCTCCCCCGCCGAGCAGCGCGACGATGCGAAGCGAAACTTTCTCAAGACCATGAGGGCCTTGCCTACCCAGCATTATTGGGACGTCTACTTCGACAGGTCAGGAAACATCATCTTCGGAAGGGAGACGTAGAGGATGCAGATCAAGAGAAGGAGGTGGGAGAGGAGCGAGACTGACAACTCGAGGTATACAGACAATCCAAGGATACTGCCGCTACCACCACCGCCGCCGCCCAGACAGACTCGAAAGACGAATACAAGACCAGTCTGGAAAAGCTGGAGACGCGCATCGAGTCTGTGCAGGACTTTTGGCGCTACAACAACAACACCCCCGTCGACCAGATCAAGATGCGCGAGTCCATCTACCTGTTCAAGTCGGGCTTCCGTCCCGTCTGGGAGGATCGACGCAACATCACCGGCGGGTGCTGGACCCTGCGCGTCCCCAAGGCCGTGGGCCCGGATGTGTGGACTCGTATCCAGCTCCTTGCCATTGGGGAGGTCCTCGAGGGTGCTCTGGATGATGGTAAGCAGTGCCACTACGTCCTCTCTCTCACTCCCGCCTTTCCTCGTCGATACGGGCAACCGTGTACTGACTGCCCTCACCCCGCCAGATGATCAGCTCTGCGGTGTAGGCCTCTCGGTCCGCTTCAACTCCCACCTCATCACCATCTGGAACCGCGACGCTTCCAAGAAGACGTCGATCGACGGAATCATCGAGTGCGTCCTCGAGCAGCTGCCCGAAGAGCTCCGCCCCAAGCCCGACGCCTACTACTACAAGAAGCACGCCGACCACCCTGGCTTCAACCCACCTCCCGAGCTCAGGGCTGTTCTTGAGTCGCAAAAGAAGAATGGGACTGTCGCCCCGTCTCCGGCCAACAATCCTGCTGTTTCTGCTGGGGAGGCCCCCGAGGTCAAGGTTGACTCACCGCAATGATGGTGTCGACGGTTATCTGCCCCCTCCCCCCTTTCTTGAACCTGAAAATTTGTTTTCTTCTTCTTCTTCTTCTTCTTGGACATCATCACCACACTTTCCTTTTTCTTTGCATGGAATTCTCCCAAGGGGAAGTCTTGTCTCTCCCCCAACCCAAAGCGTCTTCTTCCTGTCTCCTCGTTTTCATGATTGGACATGTTCGAGCCATCTTACATTATATCAGCACTTTGACTGAACAGAGCTGTTGCCCAGCTGATGAAGCATAAATACATATGAATATATAAGAAGACATGTTGTGTATCATAAAGACGGAAGAAGAAAGGTGTCGATTTTCTTTGTTGTTTAACTCCTCTTTTGCCGACTGAACAGACAAACAAGAAACGCCAATGCCACAGGTTAAAGACCAAGGTATCATCATGCAACGGAAAGAAGGAAAAAGGACAGGCACAAGTCAAAGAGACGAGAGGAATAAGAGAGAGAGAGAGAGACAGGCGTAGACAAGAGACGGGGGGGGGGGTCACCTCCAAACACCCGCACTCTTCATAACGCCATCAAACTCATCCATCTCGACTCCTCGCGACACGCCAGCCCCACCATTCGCCTCGAGAATCATGTCCTTGAGAATCTCATCATCCACATCCTCCTTGAGCACGGCAGCCACACGCCTCAGATGGGCGAGAGTTATGCGATTATCACCACGGGTCTGACCATGCCCGCCGCCGCCGCCGCCGCCGCCGCCGCCACCGTTGCCGACCTGCCCGTTGGTGAACAGCCGGAAGGCCTCCTCTACCTCTGCGCGGTGAGCCTCCTCATCGTCGGCCGAGGCGCGGTTGTGGAATTTGAGGGCGCAGATGGCGAAGAAGGGCTCGTAAGTGGCGTATCCGTCCGAGTCGGGGTCTAGGATCGATATGAATTCGTTGAGTTCGGCGTTGCTAGAGGCCGGGATGCCAAGGGCACTGCATACATCCATACATCGTTCTTTTTGTCAGCGGATTGGAAGGAAGGGGGAGGGGTGGGGGCAGAGGACGGGTATGGATGTATATATAGATATATAGGTATATAGATATACAAGACATACATCAGGGCCGATTTGAAGTCGTCGATTGGCAAGACACCGTTCTTCTCGCCGTCCATGGGCTCGGCAAACAGGCCAAAGGCCTCCTTGATCTCGCCTTCTTCCTGGGAAGAAACGTTGTGCTCCCTTGCTAGCTTGGAACGCGGGGGCGGCCTGGACGAGCCGGGTGCACCACCCGTCGTGGATGGCGCGGATCTGCGCTTGGGAGGCTGCACGGTGGTCAGTCTAAGAGGTGGAAAAGAGGTGGATGATGAAAGAGAAGAATGAGTGAATGAAATAGATCAATAAATAAGCAGAGAAAAGAGAGATTTCTTACCATGAACGCGGCGCGCGTGGACGGGAGGGGGGGGGGGGACGGGGACGGGTCAAGATGCTCGTGGGCGTAAAGGAACGAAGAGAAAGACGGTGCACGTCATGAGCTGTCGGTACGACGTACAGTTTTTATTAGACAGTCTATTATATATTACACACTGTCTATCCACCAACTACTTGACGCCTTTTCTATTTCTTTCTCTTTTTCTTCCCTCCTTCTTTACTTTTTATCTCATTCATGTCCACTCCTCCATCATGCTAATTTCTACATGTTTGAACGACGACGACGACGACGACGACATCTGCGCACAACAATGTCATGGCAGACTCTTTATACACGTCCGTCCGTTTGACTCAGGTTTGTTTTCGTCTACACTGTGAAGAAGAAAAGGAAAGGAGAAGAGAGAAAAAGAAGGAAAGAAAGAAAAAAAGATTCCTCGCACAGCCTCGTGTGATCAAACCTCGAAAAGAAAATCCCGACACACGCTTCCAATTAAGCTAGAGCCTGCCGCCCCCAAAATTTCTCCCAGAGCGAGCAGGTGTAGAAAGTGAAGCAAGATTGAAAATCACCGGGGTCATAAAATGTCATGGTCTAGGCCGTCACTTTTTTGATTCCATCCGATGGGCTGCCTGTGGTGTCTGGTACGTTTTCTCTCCAGACGCCTTTGCTGTCCTTGGAGACAATTTTTTATTTTATTTTATTTTTGCTTCCAGAGAAGATAGGGAAGAAAGGAAACCGTCTGTTTTTTTACCCTTACTTATGTAGGGTGTATTATATATATAAAGTATCTGTAGTGAACGAGAGAGTATGCCTTGCTACTCTGATGCTATACATCCGACATACAAGGTGACTCCTAGACGCTTTGCCTAGACGCTCTCTGCCTTTAGATCTTGGCCTCGGGTGGCCTGACACCATGTTAATGGAAGAAAAAAGTGGAAAAGGGGGGGGGGGGGGAGGCAAGAAGTCCCCTCACTTGAAGTTGTTCTTCATCTCGCGCAGCTTAGCCATGACACTCCCTGGTTCCTTTTCTCCCGTCGCCTTGAGAATGGTAGGGTCCTATTGGGGGAGATCAGTCCCATGTTTCCAACATGACAATTCTCTTCTGTACTTCTCTCGACTTACCTCGACTCTCATGAATACGTTGTGGGCCTACATCATCCATCAATCATCAGCCGCGTACTTGGGAATCAAATACTACGAGGATGGACCCAGACCAGATCAGACCAGGACAACACAAACACACCTTTTCATCTCCAATGGTAAACTTCCCCGTCGTCACCTCATTAGTGGCGGCAAAGGCCTCGAGCCTCTTGATCGGCTCGCTCTGCAAGACTGAGAGGCAGAACTTGACGTTGGCCTTTGTATATTCGTGACCGGGCTGCTTCTGTCAGATTCTTGCTTGTTTATCTTTTTTCTGTCCCTTCCTCTTTTCTTTCTCCAGTCTTCCACACGAGATTTTGGGGGGGGGGGGGATGAAGAATGGAAAATTATGAAAATTATAAAACAAAAAAAACATACATAGACCACTGTGTCATCCGGCAGAGCGGCAAGACGGGTGTTGAGAGCCTCGTGCATCTCCTCAGCCGTTCCTTCAAAGAACCTACCGCATCCTATTTTTTTTTGTTTCGTTGGATCAGCAACATGTGCAAACGGAACATCTTAGAAAGGGGGGAGGGGAAAGGCAGGGAAAAAATCACGCACCGCCGATGAACAGCGTATCACCCGTAAAGACAGCCTTGTCGTCCCCATCCTGCATGAAGTAGCAGATGCTATCCTGGGTGTGGCAGGGCGTGTGGATGCTCCTGACGGACACGTCGCCCAGCTTGAACGTCTCCCCGTGGGAGGGGACCTCGTCGACGGACTGGCAGTCCTTTCCGCCGATGATCCTGAGCTTGGGAAGGCCCAGATCTTTCCTCATCTGGTTGTTGCCGCCGGCGTGGTCCCAGTGGTGGTGCGTGTTGACAATGGCCTTCAAGTTGATCTCTCCCCTCTGGATGGCATCCTTGAGGACTGGGGCAACTCTGTGAAAACCGAATAATAACCCCTCCCATCATACATGGTTAGCCTCGTCCTTTTTTTTTTCTTTTTTTTTTTGCTCCCTTCTTTGGGTTTTGCGAGGAGGAAAATAGATAGAAGATGAAGAAAATGAAGGAGAAGAAAAAAGGAGAAGTAAGGGAGAAGAAAAGAAGCAGAAGTAAGAACAACGCACTCTTCTGGGTTTGCCGGATCAATGATAAAGGCATCCTTGCTCTTGTCATCGACAACCAGGTACGAGTAGTTATCACTACTCCCTACCCCTGTTTCCGTCGGCCCTCCCCCATAAGGTCAGTCATCTCGGGAACAAGGATTGGAAAGAATCGTCTACTGCTTCTTCTCTCACACACCCTAAGGGTTCATACACATGGGAATCGACTTGATATGCATCGTGCGCCGAGTGATAAGCTGTGAGCTCTGTAGGCCAGTAAAGAGAGAGCTCCAACTCGATGATGACGACAGTTTTACCGGTCGGAATAGCGTGGTTGGGCCTTTTCCAATAGAAAGTCTTCGTGGAATGATGCGATTCATCAGGAAAGATGATGGACCCCTCAAGTGAAGTGTTATAGATGGTTGACCCCTCCGTCGTCAATAATGATGATTAATGCATCAACCTCTATTCCTTGCAGCTGGTTCGTTCTCATCATGACGTCTCCCCCACTACAAGCACGTGACCATGGCAGGCAGTCGGACGGTGTTGATGGCATGCGCTGTGTAACATGTGCAAGAAAATTATCAACATACATACATATGGATAGGTAGACATAAACAAAACAAACCTCCCCCCTCCCCCCCCCCCCCAAAAAAAAAGGAGCGAGAGAGAGAGAAAAAAAAAAACCCCCCCCCCCCCCCCCCCCCCCAAAAAAAAAGGAGCGAGAGAGAGAGAGAGACCATACGCCTCTCTCTCGATGCTCATCACACCTCGCCGATAGGTCTAGCCGTCCAGGCCCCCCTATGAAGTGACCACGGCGAGTCCTCTGACCGATCAGCATTTGCCTCCTCGGACCTAGAGAGCTCCTCCATTAAACGCGAAAGACCGGTCTGCTCCTGCTCCCCGGGAGGTATCCGTCCCCTCAAGTCAGACAGAGACTGCGATAGCTGCTCCGCGCTCCACCGACCCGTCAGCTCGGCCCTGAGCCCCGACATGCCCCCCGCCGGCCACCGCCGCACGTAGCGCAGAAGGGCGGCCTCGACGGCGCACTCGGCGCCCGGTTCGTAGTCGTCCCCCAGCCGTGACCAGTACTGCTCCCATATCCAATCCATAGCCTTGACGGCCGCTTTGCGCAGCTTCGGGGTGGACGGGAGCTCCTCGTGCGTGGTCTGGTGTCGCAGCTCGACGAAGGCGGCAGGTAGTCCGATGGTCTTGGCGAGAGAGTACATGCTCTGTTTGCGGATCTTGTCTTGCTGTCCGTCTAATAGACCTGTGACGAATCTGTTGGGAGGTTTTTTTTATATCAAAGTCAGCACTTCACTCATCGAAGAAGAAAGAGGCGTATAGAGATGGGAAGCAGAAGAGGGGGGAGAGAGAATGTTACCTAGAAAACGCAGTAGAGTAGGCCAATCTAGCAGCATATTCTCCCGCCGAAGATGCGGCACCGGATCCGTCCTCGTTCCGGCCCTGGCCCTTTTTGTCGGCCAAAGCAGCAGCCGTCAGCTGAGCGGTCGACTCGATCATGTGCGGGCATCCCCCGCGGTGAACCCACATGGCGACGTGGGAGACCGCCCTGGCCTGTTCTCTGTCTCTGTCACGTCGCCTCTGTCGAGTCTTGACCCGATCTTGTTCTTGGTCCTCTGTACCATAGCCGTCGTCGCCGTCGCCGGTGAAGCTTAATACCGGAGACGGCTTGGTCGTTTGTGCTGTCCTATGGGTCTGACGATGGCCGTAAAATTGTTCCCTGACCATGAGTAGTTCCTGACGGTCCTGCCATGGCGTTATGACATATTGGACCATTTCTTTTTAGGGGGGGGGTCCTTGCGCCAGAAACGAGCAAAAAGATATATAAATAAAGCAAAGCAATAATAATGATGATGATGATGATGATGATGATGACGATGGTCAGTGAGGACCTCCCCTCTATATCGGTTGTATTGTGCCGGTGTGTGTGAGAGTGCTGGATTATGGTCAGTGAGAGAGAGTGTTGACAAAGGGTCAATGCCGTTTTGGAAAACTTTGGTGGGGAGCCACACCTGCCCCGCCTATTTATTATTTATTTGTATTATGAAGCAGAGCCAAACGTCAAGCCCGGTATTTCACAGAGAAAGAGAAGCATCGATCTACCAAGAGTAGCTATAAGAGAAGCCAACTGGAATTTTTTCGTCATTTACCATGGTTTCGTTTTTTTTTCTCCCTCACTAGTCTCTCTAATTTTGTTTCACCCTATTCTCAAAGCCTGACCTTTACGAGACAGTCTTCTCGACCATAAAGATGCCGTACTTCTCCTTGAGCTCCTTGATGAGGGGGTCGCAGATGTCGGTGGTCATGGGGGCCAGGACGCCCTTCTTGGACAGGGTGCCGTTGAGGACCTGCTGGACGGCGACGGCACAGGGGATGCCGACGAGCTTGGCCATGGCGGAGTAGCCCTTGGGGTCGCCGTACTCGACGAGGGTCGAGGTGCGGGTCTCCTTGGTGCCGTCGGCGTGCTCGATGCCGAACTTGTGCTGGAGCATGATGAGATCGCGCTCGCCCTCCTCGAACTGCATCTTCTGCTCGAGGGTGGCGCAGAGGGTGTCGAGGGGGTTGCCGCGAGGCGTGATCTTCTCGTCGGAGAAGAGGCCGAACCAGCGGAGACCGGAGAGGATGCGCTGCTTGTCCTCGGGGGAGTCGAAAGTGGCCTTGGCGGAGACGGTGGCCTCGAGGTCGGCGGCGCTGGACGAGGGGGCGCCGATGATGGCCCTGGTGGCCTCCTTCCAGGCGACGGGGGTGTCGAGCAGGGCGTCCGGGGTGTCCTCGAGGAAGCCGATCTCGACAAGGACGCGGATGAACTGCGGGAAGCCCTGGTAGCGCAGGGTGCCGCGGACGATGGTGTCGGCCTCGGGGATGTTGTAGCGTTCCCGGTACGGCGTCGAGTCACGGTTGGGGTACCCGACGAAGGCGAAGCCGGGGTAGATGAAGTACGGCTTGGCCGCGGCCATCAGGTCCTTGGACGAGATCTCCACCACCTTGCCGTCCTGGTAGATCTTGGCCGTGTTGCGCAGGGCCAGCAGCACGCCGCGCGGCGACCACGAGAACTTGTAGCCCAGCGGGTTGTCCGAGCACTCGGGCGCGCACAGCCCACCACAGAACGAGTGGAAGCTCTTGATCTTGCCGCCCGCCTTGTGCACCGCGTCGATGACGCTCACGGCACCCAGGTGGTCCACGCCCGGGTCCACGCCGATCTCGTTCATGACCGTGATGCCCGCGTCCTTGCACTGCTGGTCCAGCTCCATCATGGCCGGCGACACGTAGCTCGTCGTCACCACGTTCTTCTTGTTGCGAATCGCAGACTTGATGACGGTCGCGTGGAAGGTGTACGGGATCAGGCTGATGATGACGTCGTGCTTGGCCACCTCGGCGTCCAGAGCCTTTTCGTCCGTCACGTCGAGCGTGATGGGCGTGGCGTTCTTGACTCCCTCGACGAGCTTCTTGGCCGACTCGAGAGTACGGCAGGCTATATCGGTTCCAGGCAATCAGCTTCTTCTCTCTCCTCTGCTTCCCTCCTCTCGTCTCTCCCGCCCGCCTCTACCCTCTCCACAGCCCACTCATCCCCGGAACATACCAACCGTGACGTGAACGCCAGCATCAGTGAGGACATCGAGCGTGGGGCGGGTAACGAACCCAGCGCCCAGCATAAGAACAGATCTGAACCAAGTGTCAATTTTCTTTTCCGTTTCTTCTCCTCTTTCATGTGCGGGGTTCCCAAAACTCACTGTTGAGCCATGGCTGATTTCTGTTTGTTTTTTTTTCCCTTGGATTGATTCGATTCCTGATTGTTTACAAGGGGTGAAATCTGGGCTTCATAAAACTCCTCCGGAGAAGAGAAGAAAAAAATATACAGAGGGGAAGGTGGGATGAATGGCGGGGTTCAGGCCGATGACGGAACCAGCGTTGGCTCCACCAGCACCACTTGTGGCTGGTGTATGTGTGTGTGTGTGTGTGTGTGTGTATCTGGAAATACAGTCCACACTCGGTGCGTGTATTCAATTTCTCATCATCACAATCGCCGTGATTGGATCACCTTTCCCGATCCCCCCCCCTTTTTCACCAACCGCCCCTGATATCGAGGGACGACGCATCATTCATCTGATTCAAAGAGATGAGGAGAGGAGAAATTCTTGATATTATGCAATTTTTGAAATAATAAAAATAAAATAAAACGGAGCGCGGATAGGCTGGCTGGAATTTCGGCATCGCGTAAGATCGTGATGACCGCCGATCGCCGAATTCGCTGAGGAACGCAGTCATACTATGCTCCTCGTCACGAGCGGGTGGGAGCGGTGCTGATGTTGCATCTCTGTCGTAGCTGATGCGCACAACATTCTGCCGGGGTCGGAGTGTTTGTTTGCTCCTCACAGTCACGACTCACAGTCACGACTCACCACACAGCCAAGGCTCGACAGCGAGACGCAGGTGAGAAGAAGCCTTGAAGACCAAGGAGATGGACCCACATAAGAGAAGTAAAACAATTTATAAAGGATTGAAAAGAAAAATGAAAGAAGAAAAAAAAAAACCCCTCCCGAGAACCATGTACCATGTTCTCTCAATCTCTCCACCTGTCAGGAGGGTGTGGAGCACGCGGCTCTGTCCGGGGGGCTGGGGGGTCGTGTTGGAGTGTTAGTATCCATTACACAAATATCCACATTGCGACAAGTATTCGTTGGTGTGCCGTATTGCATGTGTCGCGCAGAGACTGTGCGAAACTATTAGTATTGGCACAAGCTGTTTGAACTTGAACCTGATAATCTAATTGCTAATATGCATATGCAATCCTTTCGTTTCCCATGATGCTAATCCCTTGCCTTACTAAGGATGTGCAACATATATGATATATATATATATATATATATGTGTGTGTGTGTGTGTGTTTGTACAAGAAAATAATTCAAAACAATAAAGCATCAAACGCCATAATTCAAAGACCCCTTTTTTGTGTACTCTCGTCTCGAATGCCCGCTATGCTCGCTATGTGAATATGAAAAAGAAATAAAGAGAAAATAGAGAACAGAAAGAAAAGAACGACATGTGTGAATCAAGTACAGGTTAGAAGAAAAAGGGGGCCGGGGCGGGGTGAGGGGGTGGTAGACATGAAAATGTCGAGAGAGAGAGAGAGAGAGAGAGACAGTCAAGTGACAAAGAGTCAAGATCACTCCTCGTCACCGTCGGCGTCGTCCTCCCCATCATCAGACGTGGGAGGCTCCCAAGCCTTCTCGAGCGTGAGCCCCTTCCCCATGGGCTGGTAGGCCTCGAGGGAGGAGCGGTACGTAGAGCCCAGCAGGCAGGACATGGTAGACCTGTAGTTGTCGAGCTGAGGGTCCTCGCAGAACATCTTGTCGGGGGTGTCGTAGAGTCCCATGCCGATCAGGATCTCGCCATCGTCATCCCCATCATCATCACCGGCCACCACCTCCTCCTCCTCCTCCTCCTGAGGAATGACCTGCTGCGTCAGCTGCTGGTGCTGCTGCTGAATGAAGGCCTCGGGTGTGGGAGGGGTGGTGATGCCGCCCAGGACGTGGTCGTCGTGCCACTCGAGCGTGCTCTCGGCCGGTGTGAGGGAGGGAGGTTGCTGCTGGGCAAAGTAGTTGCTGCTGCTGCCCTGCTGGAGACCATCAAAGTGATGTGTCCAGACGGTGTTGTCAGGACTGGCGAACCGGTGGTTGTCGTCGTCGTCGTCATTGTTGCTGTTGTTGTTGGTCTGGGACATGACGGCGAGACCGGCAGCACCGCCGGTGGTGGGGAGGGAGAATGTGGAGCAGGGGGATACGTTTGTCGAGTGGCATACTGCTGCTGCCGTGGGGGAGAGCAGAGGGTATGCCGACGAGGAGGCATCCATGTCGCTGGTGCTGATGGGATGGGCGTAGCCGGCAGAGGCTGCCGTGTACATTGTCGGCGTGGACAGAGGGTAGCAGCTCGAAGGCGTCAGATCCATGCCGGGGTAGCTCGTGGAGGCGGCGGTGGGAGCCATCATGTACGAGCTCGGATGCCAGCTGACGGGGCGGGAGGCGGGTGCTCCCCCCGGGTACATTGGCTGCTGCTGCTGTCGTCGTGACGTTGCGTGGTATACAGGCGGCTGCTGTTGGGCGTTGTCGATGTTGCTGTTGCTGCTATGGTGGTGGTGGTAGTGACGGTAGTCGGCGGCGGCGGCAGCATTCATCCTACTACCGCTGGACTTCATCACTGCTGTCGGGCTGGTGTGGGCGCTCAAGGGCTTGGTGACCCTCGCCGCGGCGGCTGCACGGCGAGACGGGTTGGAAGGTACGCGGGACAGTCTCCTCGATGCCTCGGCGATGGCCATGTGGTTGGACCAGTCGTCCAGGAAGGAGGCGTCGTGGGAGTAAGTGTGCTGTTGAGGGAAGTGGTGTATCGGCGAGTAACCGCCATTGAGAGCTTGCATCATGGTGGTGTGCTGGCGAGGTTGGATGATGTATTATGAGCGTATGATGGTGGTTGGCCTGATATGTGTAAAGGTTCAGGATGTTGTTGAAGTTGCTGTTAGTGGTGGTGGTGGTGGTGGTGGTGATGGTTGAACTCAGTTGTGGTCAGGAAGGAGGAAGAAGACTGTTGGAACGGGATTGTGGAAAGACAAAAGGAAGAGATGGCATCTCGCCGGGTTCCTGTATATAAGAGAATCTGAGGAAAAGAGAGAGAAGGGACTGCAACGAAGGCGGCGGCTGGCCTTGTCATGTGCGTGGATTATAACCATTGTATTACTACCGTACTAGTTCCATGTAGTATCGTAACGGAGTAGGAAGACCATGTCTAGCCCACCGAGATGCAAATAGTCGTAACTTCCATGCAGGTTCAGTACGTACCTCTCTCTCTCTCTCACTCTCTCTCTCCCTGCAAGTTGAGTGGGAAGGGGAGAAGGGGGGGTAGGGTGAAAAAAGGTCTACGACAAAGCGCTTGAGAGTGGAGAGAGAGAGTGGGGGGTGGTGGGAGATGGGCAGGGGTGTGGGTAAGAGGTGAGAAGGGGAAGAAAGATAGAGAAGAGCCTGAGAGAGAAAGTGGAGGCGTGTGATCAAGGGTTTCCAATACTACGTAATGTGCTGCCAGTCTGTTGGTGTGTCACGTCACGCTTCAAAGAGGGGAGAGGGAGAGAGAGAGAGGAAAAAGAGAAGGGGGGGGGTGTATGATGTGGATCATTATTTGTACAGTAAGCTGTACGAGTAGATGGGTACATTCATGTAGACTAGGGAAGTCCGCATCTCCATCTCCATCTCCAGGGAGAGAGAGAGAGAGACATTCGGACTCTTTCTTCTTTTTTTTCTTTTTCTTCTTTCTTACTCACCAACACCTAAGAGCTCTAGCAGTCTAGTAGTATGACTCCCTGACTGATGTGATGAGGTGCAGGTGCCATATTCAGCATAGTCCTGTAAAAATAAAAATAAAATAAAGGGTCACGAGCTTTTTTTTTTCCCCTTTCCTCTTCTTATATTCATTTCCGGAAACGCAAAGTCCAGCAGACCCTGCAATGCTGTATTCGTACCTCTCTGTGACTGACCTTGGGGATAGAAGAGCTATGATGCTACTACGAGTACTCGTGCTACATGTACGGGGTATCACTACTACGAATAGGTTGTTGAATCATGGGATGAGGTCTACAGGGGTCTGAATGAGTTTTTTTTTTTTCTTGCTTTTTTTTTTTTTTCTTTTTCCCTTTCTGCTACAAAGTACTGAACCAAGTCATGATACCTTTTTTTCTTTTCTCCTTACAAGTACACAACTCACGGATCATCGGATAGTCACGACCAGTAACGCACCGTATCTGATGTAATTCGTAGCCGGCAGCATCACCTACGCCTAAACTCTACATGTCGAAAAGGGGGGGAGGCGGCCAGGAGGATGAGGAGGGGCATACTCGTACAGGATGTACGTACAGCGTATCTCTTGAAAGAAACGTATCACTGTACGTGTATATACATGTAATACTCGTAGTAGTGTGTATCCGTATCACGGCGTACGTTACTCTGTACAACCAACTCATGTGCGAGTGAGTAGAGTACTCTTGATGCCCACGGCAGAGTACGGTCTGGCAATTATGAGCGCAGCAGCACAACAAGCCCGGTTCGACAGACTTTTCTGTTCCCTTCTCCATGCCCAGCGGGGCAGAAGGTGCTTTTTTCTGTGCAAGATGCGTCATGGACCTGAGCATGTGTGTGTGTGTGTGTGTGTGTGTGAAAGAGAGGGTGTGCACAGAAGACCTGGTGGATTCCGGACGCTAGAAGGATGGAAAGACACACCCCACAGCAACCCGCTCCGTCTCTCTCTCTCTCTCTCTCTCCCTCTCGGTCTCACTCTTCCGCTATAACGTACAAGTACAGGGATCGATAGAGAAGGGGAAGGGAGAAGAAGGGTCTTCGGACCCGCGTGTGTGTGTGCGCCCCACAAAACACCGATGGCTTGCTGGGGAGGGGGGGCCAGCGGCTGCTCCGGCAGAGAGGTTACAAGGCACAGACGGAATCTCAGAGGTCGGTAGTATTACGGATGGAGAGACGGGGTGTGCGTACGTGCGTACGTGCATGCGTGCGTGCGTGCGTGTGTGTGTCTGTATGTGTGATACCGTCCGGGTACATACGAAACGAATGGCCCTCGATCGTCATGCCCCCCTCTGGGGGGGTCCCTACGATATTCGCAGTAATAATACAAGCTACACACAGTCACACAGTCACACAGTCTAGGGAAGAAGCACGGGCATACTCGTACTTGTACAGATTGCTACCGAGTATGAGTGTACCGAGTATTGGTTGAGATTAATATTATAAGCCACTGAAGGAAGAAGGAGAATAGAAAACGCGTGTCATCCGTGGCTGGGTGGTCGCCAAGTTACACC